TAGCCAGGATGGTCTCAATCTCCCGACCTCGTGATCCACCCGCCTCGGCCTCCCAAAGTGCTGGGATTACAGGAGTGAGCCACCGCGCCCGGCCCGCTATTTTTTATCTATTATGGTGATCCATGATCAGGGATTTTTGGTGTTTCTATTGTAAATGTTTTGGGGCTCCACAGACCATGCCCACATAAGAGTGAACTTAATCGATAAATGTGTGTGTGTTCTTACTGCTGCACCGGCCATTCCTCCATCTCTCTCCATCTCCTTGGGCCCTCCTATTTCCTGAGACACAGCAACATTGAATTAGGCTGATTAATAACCCTACAGTGGGCTCCAAGTGTTCAAGTGAATGAATCACACTTCTCCCACTTTAAATCAAAAGCTAGAAATTATTAGGCTTAGTGAAGAAGGCAGTGGAAAACTGAAATAGACTGAAAATTAAGCCTCTGGCATCAAACAGCCAAGTTGTGAATGCAACGAAAAAGTTCTTGAGGGAGATTAAAAGTGCTACTCCAGTGAACACGCAAATGATAAGAAAGTGAAAAAGCTTTATTGCTGATATGGAGAAAGTTTGAGTGGTCTGGATAGAAAATCAGACCAGCCACAGCATATCCTTAAGCCAAAGCCTAATCTAGGGCAAGGCCCTAACTCTCTTCAGTTCTCTGAAAGCTGAGAGAAGTGAGGAAGGTGCAGAAGAAAAGTTTGAAGCTAGCAGCGGTAGGTTCATTAGGTTTAAGGAAAGAGCAGCCATCTCCTGAGCATAAAAATGCGAGGTGAAGCAGCAAGTGCTGATGGAGAAGCCGCAGCAAGTTATCCAGAAGATCTAGCTAAGATTGTTAATGATGGTAGCTGCACTAAACAGATTTTCTTTTTTTTCTTTTCTTTTTTTTTTTTTTTTTTTTTGAGACGGAGTCTCGCTCTGTCACCCAGGCTGGAGTGCAGTGGCCTGATCTTGGCTCACTGCAACCTCTGCCTCCCGGGTTCAAATGATTCTCCTGCCTCAGCCTCTTGAGTAGCTGGGATTACAGGCGTGTGCCACCACGCCTGGCTAATTTTTGTATTTTTAGCAGAGACGGGGTTTCACCATGTTGGTCAGGCTGGTCTTGAGCTCCTGACCTTGTGATCTGCCCGCCTCAGCCTCCCAAAGTGTTGAGATTACAGGCTTTAGCCACCGCACCTGGCCAACAGATTTTCGGTATGGATGAAACAACCTTCTCTTGGAAGCTAGAGAGAAATCAATGCCTGGTTTCAAAGCTTCAAAGAATAAGCTGACTCTCTTGTTAGGGGTGAATGCAGCTGGTGATCTTAAGTTGAAGCCAATGCCCACTGGCCGTTCTGAAAATCATAGAGCTCTTGGCCGGATGCGGTGGCTCAAGCCTGTAATCCCAGCACTTTGGGAGGCCAAGACGGGCGGATCACGAGGTCAGGAGATCAAGACCATCCTGGCTAACACGGTGAAACCCCGTCTCTACTAAAAAATACAAAAAAAAACCCAAAAAAAAACTAGCCGGGCGAGGTAGCAGGCACCTGTAGTCCCAGCTACTCGGGAGGCTGAGGCAGGAGAATGGCGGGAACCCGGGAGGCAGAGCTTGCAGTGAGCTGAGATCTGGCCACTGCACTCCAGCTTGGGCGACAGAGCGAGACTCCGTCTCAAAAAAAAAAAAAAAAAAAAAAAAGAAGAAAATCATAGAGCTCTTAGGAATGATGCCAAATCTACTCTGCCTTGCTCTGTAAATGGAACAACAAAGCCTGGATGACAGCACCTTTATTTACAGCATGATTTTTGACTATTTTAAGCCCACTGTTGAAACCTACTGATCAGAAAAAGGATTCCTTTCAAAATATTACTGCTCATTGATACCACACCTAGTTACTACTCAAGAGCTCTGGTGGCCGTATACAAGGACACGAATGTTGTTTTCATGCCTGTCAACACAGCATTCATTTTGTAGCCCGAGGATCAAGGGGGTAATTTTGACTTTTAAGTCTTGTATTTAAGAAATACATTTCATAAGGCTAGAGGCGCCATAGATAGTGATCACACTGATGGATCTGGTCAAAGTCGATTCAGAACCTTCAGGAAAGGATTCACCATTCTAGATGCCATTAATAACATTCATGATCCATGCGAGGAGGTCAAAGTATCAACATTAATAAGAGATTGGAAGAAGTTGATTTCAGTCCTTATGGATGACTTTGAGACTTAAGTGGAGGAAGTAACTACAGATGTGGTCGAAATAGCAAGAGAATTGGAAGTGGAGCCTGAAGATGAGACTGAATTGCTGCAACCCCATGATAAAATAGCAGTGATGAGGAGTCACTTTTGATGGATGAGCAAGGGAAGTTGTTTCTTGAGATGGAATCTACTGCTGGTGAGGATGCTGTAAACATTGTTGAAACGATAACAAAGAATTTAGAATATTTTATGAACTTAGTTGGTAAAGTAGTGGCAGAGTTTGAGAAAATTGACTCTAAATTTGAAGGAAGTTCTGCTGTGGGTAAAATGCTGTCAAACAGCATCACATGCCACAGAGCAATCTCGTGAAGGAAAGAGTCTATCAATGCAGCAAACTTCATTGTTGTCTTATTTTTAAAAATTGCCGCAACCACCCCAACCTTCGGCAACCACCACCCTCATCAGTGAGCAACTGTTAATGTCAAGGCCGGATCCTACGCCCATGAAAAGATTTTGACTCACTGAAGGCTCAGATGATCATTAGAATTTCTTAGCAATAAACTATTTTTTAAAAATTAAACAATTTTTTGAAGATAAACCAGACCAAAATGTCAAGCAATAAAGGATTTTAAAATTAAGTTACATACATTGGTTTTTGAACAGTGCTCTTGCACCCTTAATAGACTCCAGTATAGCGTAAACATAACTTTTATATACAGTGGGAAACCAAAAATATTTGTGTAACTTGCTTTATTGCAATATCTACTTTATTGTAGTGGTCTGGAACTAAGTATCTCCAAGGTATGCCTGTAAGTTCCTCCGTAAAATGCCAAAATTATAACTGAAATTAGTTAAAGCTTTGGCTTTCTATCAAATGCCATCACCTTCTTAAAGTCAATTTTCTTTACCACCGTCACTAGCATTAGCACTAGCACTAGTACTAGTAGCATTCTTCCTCCCACTGCCCTCTCCCCCGACCCAGTTGGTTTTCCACTATGAAATCAGTTTTACAACTCATTTTAAGGGTCTTCAGGAATCAAGAACAAAGCTGCCCTGAGTGGGGGATACTGGTGATTGACTGGCTGCCCTGAGGGTGACCCGCTGCTGTTTGCCAGCTTTCTGTGTGTCTTGGGTTCAAATTTGTACTGCACCGGAATAGATTGCCATAGTTCATGGATGTGGTGGGAAGAAAAATGTCCTCTCCAGGAATGTCCACATTCTAATTCCTGCACCTGTACAGATGTAATCAATGGGCTTGAGATGGGAGATTATTTTGGATTAGTTATGTGGGCCCAGTGTTAAAATGAGGGTTCCTATAAATTAAGAGGGAGCCAGGCATGTGAGAGAAGGTGATGTCAGGACGGAAGCAGAGATTGGAGTGATGTGGGATCAAGAGCCTAGGAATGTGGGCAGCCTCTGGAAGCAGGAAGAGACAAGAAAACCTGCCTGAGGGCCCCGAGAAGGAACGCAGGCCTGCCAGTTCATTTCAGACTGACCTCCAGAACTGTATGATAATAAATGGTGATTTTCTTTTCTTGTTTTTTTTTTTTGAGATGGAGTTTCACTCTTGTTGCCCAGGCTGGAGTGCAATGGTGCGATCTTGGCTCACTGCAACCTCTGCCTCCCGGGCTCAAGTGATTCTCCTGCCTCAGCTTCCCAAGTATCTGGGATTACAGGCGTGCACCACCACGCCTGGCTAATTTTGTATTTTGGGAGGCCCGCTTTGGCCTCCTAGAGTGCTGGGATTACAGGCATGAGCCACTGCGCCTGGCCATAAATGGTGTTATTTTAAGCCATTAATTTTGTGGCAACTTCTTACAGCAGTTATAGGAAACCTATAATTGCATTCAACTCTGTTCTAAGTGCTTTAGCTCCATCCACTCATTTCATCCTCACAATATCCCTGTGACCCCCACTTTACAGATGAGAAAACAGGTTCAGCAAGGACAAGGGATTCAGGGTCCCCTCATTAATGAGGTGGCAGAGCTGGGATCCTAACTGGCTGGCTCTGGAGGAGTCCTGCTTTTACCTCCTGTACTGTGCTCCTCATTAATCAATTTTAAAATCAATTTCAAGTCAATATTAATTTCAAAACCCTGAGATCCCATTTAAATGCATTTTAAAGGACAAATCTCAAGAGGATATTTAAGGTATCATTCATTTATTTGTAATCAGTGATTGGGGTCTGCATTATTTTATGTTTGTGATAGTACTAAAATGATCTTATTTTTTTATTCTTTTTGGATCTGCTGTAAAAGTCTCTTTATTACCATACTTATTTGAGATATTTGGTAAAATCTGATTTTTGTCTCTTCTATTACTTTAAAATTGTGTTGGTGAAACCAGATTGTAGATGCCAGACCAAATTTGATGTGGAATCCTTTAATTCTACTTGAAATTGGGTAATAATTAGACATCTTTATGTTTATTTGTTTTAAAAATAAGACAACAATGAACAAATAAACATATGTTAGCTCAACATAAAAATATGTAGTGCATGATTAAAACTTGTACTAATGGATATTAAATTAATAAATTGCTCGATAAGTTTGAGTACATTGTTTTCTAAGGATGACTCCTAGACACACAAAAAATCAACATGTTGGAAAGAAAAGATTTTAGTCTTCTCGTGGTATTGAATAATGTTCTCCAAAATATCTTAATAGGATTTATTATGGGATCCTACACTTGGCATTTAGCTCGTATTCAGCTGAATTATCCTTTAAAGAGCATGAGTTTATTTGTCAATGAGAATTGTAGGAAAAAATACTCTCTTGGATTTCAGATTTGGTGCTATGTGTGTCTTTTCTGCTTGCTTTCATTCTAGGTATACCCCTAGAAACACTTACAGAAGAAAGTCAGTCAAGACATGTTCTACCTGCAAGTTTTGAAGCCAACAGTTTGCAGAAAAGCAACTGGGGGTTCTTTCTTACTGGGCTTGTGGGTGGGACCCTGGTGGCCGTGTATGCTGTAGCCACACCGTTTATAACGCCAGCCCTTCGAAAAGTCTGTTTGCCGTTTGTACCTGCAACTACGAAGCAGATTGAAAATGTTGTGAAAATGTTGCGATGCAGAAGAGGATCCCTTGTAGACATCGGTAGTGGCGACGGACGCATTGTGAGTTCTGCTAAAACATTTTAAGGTTTGGAACGAGAACTTAAAATTTCTGCTTTACATTTAGTAAGGCTTACACAAAGACTTACTAAATCTGACAGCTCAAAAGAGTGCTCATTTCATTTTGTGTTTGTTTGACCAAACTATTAAACTACCAGCATGTTTGGAATTCATTTTTCCCAGATGTAATTTGTTCTTAAAGGAGGAAGTGCGCTGTTGACATGCCAGGGGAAAAAGAACGGTTAACTGGTAATTATTAAATTGTCTGTTAAATACTTGGGCCGACAGAGGTGGCATAATGAGAAGAAACATGTTAAATCTTGCAAACAACCCCATAGTTGTTTGCTTCTACATTTGTCTGTATTTATCCATGTATAAGTAATAATTCCTGTGGGGTAATACAGAGTTAAAATAAGAAAGAGCCAGTGATTAACCCTCACTAAGCCAAAGATCAGGCTTTTTTAGCGTAATTCTCTCACTTGACCCCAGTTGGGCACCTATAGATAAAGACAAAAGGCCACTGATGGACAAGTGGGTGTCTCAGAGCAGGTTCCTCTGTGGGCAGGGTGGCACCGTCCTTAGCCTTATCGCAGTGATGAGCTGAAAAGTTCCAGCAGCAGTGGGAAAGGCTGGTGCTACGGAAGCATTTAGTGTGAAGGCCAGCAGGACTCTCACCTTTCACCAGCTCCTACAGACATAGAGACTGATTTTGTGATTCTGAGCTAGAATATTCAGGAGGAGGTTAGAAAGGTAAGATATTTTTAATTTAATTTTTTTTTTTTTACTTTTAAAATCGTGTTAAGATACACATACCGTAGCGTTTACCATCTTAACCATGTGCAGGTGTACGGTTCAGGGTGGGAAGCACATTCACGTTGCCGTGCCACCGTCACCACCACCCATCTCCAGAACTCCTTCCATCTTGCAAAACTGAAACTCTGGCCCAATTAAATAATAACTTTCTATTCCCCTCCTCCCCTCACCCTCTGGGAGCCACTATTTATTTCTAAGAAATGTGTTAGTGGCCAGGTACAGTGGCTCATGCCTGTAATCCTAGCATTTTGGGAGGCTGAGGTGGGTGGATCACGAGGTCAGGAGTTCAAGACCAGCCTGACCAACATGGTGAAACCCCTTCTCTACTAAAAATACAAAAATTAGCCAGGTGTGGTGGCACATGCCTATAACCCCAGCTGCTAAGGAGGCTGAGGCAGTAGAATCGCTTTAACTTGGGAGGTGGAGGTTGCACTGGGCCAAGATCATGCCACTGCACTCCAGCCTGGGCGACAGAGCGAGACTCCATCTCAAAAAAAAAAAAAAGTATTGGTCTGTTTTCACGCTGCTGATAAAGACATACCTGAGACTGGGCAGTTTACAAAAGAAAGAGGTTGGTTGGACTTACAGTTTAACATGGCTGGGGAGGCCTCACAATCATGGTGGAAGGTGAAAGGCAAGGAGGAGCAAGTCATGTCTTACATGGATGGTGGCAAGCAAGGAGAGAGCTTGTGCAGGGAAACTCTGCCTTATAAAACCAGATCTTGTAAGACTTACTCACTATCATGAGAATAGCATGGGAAAGACCTGCCCCCATTATTCAGTTACCTCCTGCCAGGTCCCTCCCACAACACATGGGAATTCAAGGTGAGATTTGGGTGGGGACACAGAGGCAAACCATATCAAGAAATCAAAGAGAAAGTTTTAAAATCCATATTTGAATGCTTTACGTATTTGAACGGTATCTTTGTGGTTTCTGAGAAAATGTTTTCTTGTAGCACTGTAGTTACTTGGGAACTATCTTTGGTGGAACAGCTGAGTCAAGGGATGCTCCCTTAAAGAATGGGGCAGGACAGGACCGGCAGAGAGAACCCAGGACTGCCCCATATCCCTTCCACTCTCCGGAGGCTGGTGGGATTCCACAGTTGACTTTATTCGGATTAATTTCATTTTATTTTACCTGTTTTCAGTTTTGAGTGAATAGTCATTAACTACAAAGGAAATATGTAACTAATTGCAGATTTTTCATTGACAGGTTATTTTTATTGCACATTATTACTTGTTCACAAAATCATCCTCCCCGACACATTCATTTCACTGCTGCTGTGCTAGCCCACTGATGGAGAGATGTAGTGGATTTTCGGCAATGTTTTGTTCGACCTCCCCGGGGGTTGGCTGACCTAGAATCAATTATGGAGGTGTTCAAAGTGAACCTGAATGTCTATTCTGATATTGAGGTGAAATCTTTAACCAATCAAGAAAACTAAGTTACATAGGTTGACTATTACGTTGTCCACAAAGCTGTATCACTTTAGAGACACATTTTTAAATGATGTCTTAGTCACAGGAGGCACTTTTTGATTGGATGTTTAAACCATCAATAGGAGATATTCATATTGTTTGACCATATATGTTCATTTTTTCTTCATATTTTGAATAAATCCTGCCTCTCTCCACAGGTCATAGCAGCTGCGAAGGAAGGGTTCACAGCAGTTGGTTATGAATTAAACCCATGGCTAGTTTGGTACTCCAGATACCGTGCTTGGCGAGAAGGTGTGCATGGTTCTGCCAAATTTTATATTTCGGATTTGTGGAAGGTATGTCAGGCAGAGAATGGCCCTAGAGAAATCCAAGGGAAAGTTTATTATTCAAAATTAGTATGACTGAGAACTGAAAAATGTATTAAAAGAAAAATAATTAAAATCCAAGTGAATATTCTGGCATAATGAAATGTGTAAAATTGATACATTTTACAAATAGTCTCCTTTAGAGAGAAGCTTAAAGTTTTTATGTATAGGTCTTGTGAATTCCAAGAATTTATTTACTAAATTAGTGTGTTCTAATTTCTGTTTCTTACAAAATAATGAGATTTTTCATCTAATTTGGAAATTCTATAAATTATTATTGATAAATATTAGACTTTTCCATTTGTGTGCGTGCGTGTGTGTGTGTGTGTGTATGCATATTCGTATATTTAGAGAGACACAGAGATGGGTGCTAGAGAATCATGCTGTCATGGTTATTTTTAATCCTCATAAAGTATAAGATACTTCCAAATTTATTTGTACTCTAAAAACTCTAAAAATGCCCTGTAATTTTGCTTTAGGAATGTTCCATAAAATGCTTTTTCTTAAATAAGAATTTTCCATTGTAATATTGTCATCAGTAGGTTACAAAAATTCACTGGAGTTTTGCTTGCATTGTTTTTTTATGCCATATGCGCATAAACGATCTCTCTATAGAGTAAATAAGACTTTTATTGGGCAATAAGAATTTTAACTGGCAAAGCACATTTCCCCCTGGTTTTTCAACTGAAGACCATTTTATTGCACTTTTTTCACATAGTATTTTAGAGAAGAGGAGGGGGACTCAAATTTTAAGGATGGTTCAACAACAACAACAAAAAACACCCAGATGGTTCTGAAGTCTCTCACGTTCTGGTGAAGCTGGTTTGGTGCAGAGTGGACTGGTGCAGGGACATGTGGCCCTGGTGCCACCAGCTGGTCACAGTGGGGTCACAGTGTGGTCACTAGCTGTCCGACACATGACCACTTGGGCGCGCCCTGCATGGAGTCACCCTGAGGATGAGATGGGATGACTTACAGGGAAGCGTTTGGAAAACTGTAATGGATTGAATTAAAATGAATGAGAGCATGAATGGATTATTCTTTTCCTTGTGAAATCTTAAGGAGGGCCGCTCTTTTTAGGAATTTGTCAAAACCCACCGTTTGGTAAAACGGAAAACTGCTACCCATTTCTGTGAAACAAGTTAAGCTTAACATTTGGCTTTTTGCATTTAATCTACCGATTGTTTTCCCACCTTGTTCAGGTTACTTTTTCGCAGTACTCGAACGTTGTTATTTTCGGTGTGCCTCAGATGGTGAGTACGCACTTTTCTGCTCTCTCTTTGGGGTTAGATGATGTTAAAGGCCCTTCCAGCCGTAACACCACCACTCACCCATGTGATGGTGATGGCCTCCCAGAGATTTTAAGGAACACTGGATTTCATTTCATTGATTTAATAAAATAATTCAGAGTCTTAGAAGTTTAATCATAAAAGATTCAGTCATACTTTTAAACTTTGGCTTCAGATGAAATTCTCAATGATTTACCTAAGCCTTAAACATTCCAGTTTGGAAGCTGCTTTCTGAGGTCCCCGTGTCTAATGTAGTTGGCAGTTTTCACAGCCACTCACTTCCACTCGGCTGAAGTCGCTCTGGAAAGTTAATGAGATGTTCCCTCTGAATTGATCATTCCTCCCATTTGGCAGGAAGATAATTTTCTGGGTGGATGAGCATTGAGTAGTTTCAGTTTGCCTCAGTTTACTGATTTGCTAAAGAATGGCATATTGAACTTTGATTATGTACTTTCAAAAGTGAAAATGCCACAGTACTGCACTGAAAATGGCCCTCCTTAGCCTTTGGAAAGATGGTCATGGTGGGAAGCTTTTACTGTATTGCTGGTGCGCAGACCATGGAAGGAAATCCCTTTTCACTTGTCAAAGTCTGTCATTGTAGCCATCATAAAATTGGCAGAATTGGATGTTTGCTAAAATGCTGTGATATAGCTGATAGGGTTTTAATTTTTTAAAAAGACAATTTACTGTTTTTTGTTGTTTTATTAATGCCTGCATTTTTGTAAAAGACATTTCAGTGCTTGAGAAATGTATTTCTACTACTAAGACCTTCAGTATAATGCCATATACTTTAATTTTAACATATAATTTAGAAATGCTTTTGTAAAATACTTTTTTTGTTTTGAGCCAGGGTCTTGCTCTGTTGCCCAGGCTGGAGTGCAGTGGCATGATCTCGGCTCACTACAACCTCTACCTCCCTGGTTCAAGCAATTCTCCTGCATTAGCCTGCTGAGTAGTTGGGACTATAGGCACTTGCCACCATGCCCAGCTAATTTTTTTATTTTTAGTAGAGGTGGGGTTTTGCCATGTTGGCCAGGCTGGTCTTGAATTCCTGACCTCAAGTAATCTGCCTGCCTCGGCCTCCCAAAGTACTAGGATTACAGGTGTGAGCCGTTGTGCCCAGTCTTGTAAAATATTCTTGAAAGTGACAGTATCCTGTACATTTATAATTCTCATTATGCCTAAAATTAAGACCAAACTTTGGTATCCAGCCTTTTCTTATAGAAGTGAAATGAGGTAGAAGGGCACACTCCCTGGTCATTTTTAAGAAAACTGATTGGGATCATAGATTGATATGTAATTTTGATGGTGATTTATTACCTGTGATGTTTGGGCTTTACTTCTAAAATGGAATGTGTTCGCTTTTTGGAGACAAGTAACTTTAATTTGAATCCGTGCTTTATAAAGATAGAATGTTAGCATTTACTGGAAATTCCGTGCTGTGTGGAGAGGCAGGATGATGAAACCAGGGTTACTTGTCCCAGCGGGGGGCAGCAGTGGCCTTTGGTAGTCATCGTCACTCCAGGACCTATGGAGCCGACTCCGGGTGCTTCTTACCATGTTTGAAGTAGACTGACTCACTTTTTGGAGCTGTTCAGTCAGGGGAAATAAGAGTCTTACTATTTACGAATACTTTTGTGATTAATGTCCATTCTTCTGTATGTAGAGAAATCTGAAATAAGGAACATGTAGCATTTCACTATTCCCAAGGAAAAAGGGGAGCAGCTGAAAGACACAAAGTGTCCACGTTCCCTGTCATAACAGAGATTTGGCCAGCTCGCCGTCTCCATGCTGGTGGGTTGGTCAGGGGTGCGGAGGCCGGGATGACTTCTGTTGGTTTGGAAGGCGGAGTTTTGTGTGCGGAGGGCCCCACTTTCAACCTTCATTAAGCTGTGTCTCAGGAGAGGCCATGAGGGGGCGGGGCGTGTGCTGTGCCAGTGAACCATGGCCAGCTGCGGCTGGGTGACTCCACAAAGCCAGCGTGCCATGAGATGTTCCCATGGCAGCTGATGCCCAGATAGCTACTCAGTGAGCCAGGGGAGCCTTGGGGAGGTCCAGAGCCAGGAATCCCTGGGGCTGTAAATCCTCACCCCTGTTTCTGATACCAGACTGATGATCCCTAACAGCTCTGTGCAGTTGTAGCTCAAAATCAGAGGTGCTGTAGCAGTTCCACACAAGTATGTATCTAACTGAAAAGGAGCAAGAATCCCATTTGGATCTGGTCAAGCCATTCCTGGGGTTGTAAACATCCACGTTTAACACGAGCTTATACACCAAGAACATCTTTTCAAAGTGCAGAGCAGATCAATCTTGTTCTCGTGAAAACCCTTCTGTGACTTCTTGCTGTTTTTAGGGATAAGGTCCAAACACTGTGGCCCTGAGGCTGGCTTGCAGTGGCCGTTGCTCCCTTCCAGCTTCCTCTGGGCCATGCTGCCCTCAGCTCTCTGTACCAGTCCTCCGTCCTTCTCTTGGCCCCTTGGACCTCACCATTGCTGCTCTTCCCAGAGCCTGGGGCTGTGTCCTTCCCTCTAACTGTGGTCTCCCTGGCTCTGGACTTCGTTGGTGAATAGCACTGACAACTTATGGGCCAGCTGTCTTTTCCTCTGCAAGGCAATTTTTTTTTTTTTTTTTTTTCCGGGACAGCAGAGTCTCACTCTGTCGCCTAGGCTTGAGTGCAGTGGCGCATCTCAACTCACTGCAAGCTCCGCCTCCCAGGTTCACGCCATTCTCCTGCCTCCGCCTCCCGAGTAGCTGGGACTACAGGCACCTGCCACCACGCCCAGCTAATTTTTTGTATTTTTTTAGTAGAGACAGGGTTTCACCATGTTAGCCAGGATGGTCTCGATCTCCTGACCTCATGATCTGCCCGCCTCGGCCTCCCAAAGTGCTGGGATTACAGGCGTGAGCCACTGTGCCCGGCCTCTGCAAGGCAGTCCTTGATGCCAATGAGGCGAGCTCCAGTGGCCTGCTTTGCACTCACATAGTACCTTGTTGCCCTGTCCTTAGACAGGTTATTGTGCATTTCTTTGTCTGAAGGCTTCGACAGTGCTTGCTGTGTGCACTGCACCATCAGCTCGGGGGTAGGGAGCAGACCTGTCCTCTTCCAGCTGGCCCAGGCCTCCAGCACTGCAGCACTGGCACAGGCATTGCTTGGTAAACGGTCGTTGAATGAATGAATGTGGTCTGAGTATACCCAGTATTTATACTTTTCCCAGAAAGCTATCTACTTTCATAACTTCAAAGAATGACTAATTTAATTTTAGTTACAAATTCTGTTCTGAATTTTTTTTCTATTTTTTTTTTTGAGACAGAGTCTCACTCTGTTGCCCAGGCTGTAGTGCAGTCATGTGTGATCTTGGCTCACTGCAGCCCCAACCTCCTGGACTCAAGCGATCACCTGTCTCAGCCTGCCAAGTCACTGGGAATACAGGCGTGTGCCACCATGTCCGGCTAATTGTTTTAGTTTTTGTAGGGACGGAGTCTCACTATGTTGCCCAGGCTGGTCTCGAACTCCTGGGCTCAAGCATTCCTCCTGCTGCAGACTCCCAAAGTGTTGGGATTACAGGCATGAGCCACTATGCTTGGCTGTTATGAATTGATGAACAAAAATGTTATCATTATGTTCTAATAAAGAAAAATAACTCATAGCTGAATAACTTTTTCTTCCTTCCTTCCCTCGTTCATTTGACAAGCATGGCCACTATAGCAAGCCCTGTTCTCATCACTTGGAATATTTCAGTGAGTACGAGAGAAAACACGCCTGCCCCAGGTGCTCATATGCTAGTGGGGAGAGCAGATACTACATGAGACGCCTGTAGAAGATGCATCATACAGCAGAAGCAAAAGTGCTGTGGGGCAAAGCAAAGCAAGGGCGGGGTGGGGCAGGGACAGGATCCCTGCAAAGGTTACCTTTGAGGTTAGGGAGGGGGCTTGCAGGGAAAAGCACCTCGGACAGGGTGGGGGGCAGTGCGGCAAGCAGGCAGGTATGGCGTGAGTGTGCGTGGGGAGGTCAGAGAGGAAGCAGGATGGGAAGGACACCAGCCCTTGGAAGGACAGAAGCCTTGGTGAGCAGAGAGGAATGCATGCGGGGCTGGCTGGGCTGGAGAAGGGTCACAGGCTGCCATGTGGAGGCAGGGGTGGGTACAAGCTGGGAGACAGGTTATAAACTCTTGCAGATGTCCAGGCCATGGAGTAACTGGTGAGAAGCATCAAATTCTGTGTGCATCGTGAAGGTAGAATCCACAGGACTAGCTGGCAGATCTAACATGGGGAGAGAGACAAAGGCAGGGTCGCAGGTAGCCCCGGGGTGTTGGCCCAAGTTACTCGAAGTTTGGAGTTGCCTTGGGAAGTGGAAGCTTGTGTCTAGCACCTTAGACCACTGGGCCATCCTGCCACATGCTTGGCGTTGCCTTGAACTATGCTGGGGAAGGTGCAAGCGGAGCTGACTGGGAAAGTCAGCATGTGCATGTGATGTTTGGGTGTGCATGACATCAGGCTGGCAGTGGTGGGTGAGAAGGAGTCTGGGGTTCCGGCCAGAGAACGGGCTGGAGATGTACGTTTGTTGGGTATCAGCACAGATGAAGCCTGGGAGTAGCTGAGATTCCCTGGGGAGCACGAGCACGAGCCGTTGAAGACCTGAGCTCTGGACCCTGGCATTAGAGGTCTGGGAAATGAGGGGCAACCAGTAGGACTCGGAGAGGGGAGCCTGGGGAGGAGGAAGTGCCAGAGTGAGTTACCCTGGTGGTCCAGTGAAACCGGGGTTCCTGGGGGGCGGGGTGTGTGTATGGCAGGGCCAGGTTATCTTATACCTTGGAGAACTATGTTTAAAATTTTGTAGACATAATTAGAATAGGATGAGTTCATGTCACTTTGAAACCTATAATTGTATGAATAATTTTGAATTCCATTAGGCAGACATGACACATCACAGCTTCTCTTTGTGTGTGATATCAAGCACCAGATTCGTTGCATATTTATGTGTAATTTAGTCAGTTAATTTCTTATGATGGAAATAGCTCCTTTCATTTTTAGGTTTATCTTGACTTAGCATATGACAATCATTTGGAAATAAAAGAAACTATAAAAGAGAAAAGAATAATAGCATCATGAATAAGTTTACAATTATCCTTTTTATGAACAAAATTACCATAAGAAATCTCTGATATTTTGGAAAAACACATATTGTTTCATTCTTTGCTTATTTAATTTTTCCCTCAAGGAACACAACTTTTTTTTTTTTTTTTAATCCTATACTGGCTATTGAAAGAATAGAAATTCCTCCATCCTTAATGGAATTTATTCTGTGTTATCTTGGCATTGATTCTGATGAACAATTAGAATTTGGCTCATTCCAGCCATAGGTCGTGTAGAAGAGTTTTTCTAAGCACTTGTATAAGATTTAGGTCAGGACTAAAACCATCATAGAAGCCCTATCAATTTCGTCTTGATTTAATCTGTTTTTTTTAGAGGAGTAATTTTTGCTTAGATCTTGTTTTCTAAATATCACTTCTCACTAAGAGGAATCAGGAATCTTTGAGAAAAAGGCTGAATCAGGGCTGTGGAAGGAAGATACAAAAGCCAGGAACATTTTATTGAGCCAGAATGTAAGGAAGTGCTCACAGTATTTGATAACAGCATGTCCAAAGGACAGCGAAGCCAGCGGCAAGAGCCTCCCAGTGGCCAAATTAGGACAATTCGAGCATTCGAATACACAAGGACAGTAATGGATTGTAACCTATCAAATGAAATAAGAATATAGGTATTTGTCCTTACAGCAGATTGGTAGACAAGAAGAGAGAGAGGCAGAGCAGGTGAGGGGAAAGCCCTTCCTTATGGTAGAGTGCCAACTATACGTCTAGAAGAAACGACAGAATTAGCAGATTGATTCAGGCCAGAATTGTCCGTGAGTGCTACTCCAAGTGTGGGGACTGTCTGATGAGTAACAGGATTCACATCAACCCGAAGCATCTCCTCACAAACTACTCATTATAAAAGGAAAAATAGCAACTGCACAGTGGAGACACCGGATTCCACCTTCACTGTGTGACTGATGCCATCATCAAGAGCAGAAGGGCCTCCTGGGTGTCTGGAGCCCTGCTAAGTTCACAACCTCGCAGGTGGGGTGTTGCCAAAGACCACACACTGCACTGCTCATGAGCATACATCAGAGGACCCACCGCCAGGGCCGCTCGGTCCAATAACTGAAGAATGTTATTGTCACAGAAACCGAAGAAAGACTGAGGAGCTGTTTTCCCTCTAAGGAGACCAAAGGAATGCTATGGCTAAATGCAAAAGTGATCCTGGACAGGATCATACCTTTGGGAAATGTTATACAGAACATTACTGGGACAATGACAGAATTGCAGTGTTATTTGGAATTATTATATTGGAATACAATGTTAAATTTCCTGAAGATAACTGCTGGGATTATGTATGAAAATATTTTTCTTAGAAAATACACACTGAAGTATTAAGGGAGTAAAGGAGCATATTGTATGCAACCTTTTCTCCAATGGTTTAGGAAAAAAAATGTTCAAAGAGAGAGGGAGAGAACAAATGTGACAAAATGTTGAAAATTGGTAAACCCATAGGCCAGGTGCAGTGGCTCACGCCTGTAGTCCCAACACTGCGACAGGCTGAGGCGGGCAGATGGCTTGAGCTCATGAGTTGAGGACCAGCCCAGGCAACATGGCGAAACCCCGTCTCTACAAAATTAGGAGGTTGAGGTGGGAGGATGGTTTGAGTCCAGGAGGCGGAGGTTGCATTGAGCCAAGATCGCACCAATGCAGTTCAGCCTGGGTGATAGACCTTGTCTCAAAAAAAAAAAAAAAAAAAAAAAGTTATTGAACCTGGGTATAGGTATACAGGAGTTCTTTGTTCTTCTTTGTTCTGTTATTGCAACTTTTCTGGAAGTTTGACATTATCCCAAAATAACAAGTTAAAAGAAGAAAGTAGAAAAAAAGTATTTTTAGGATGTGAAGGTGGTAATAAATTTTTAGGACCTGCAGATACATTTTTAAGTAGTTGTTAATTTGTTGATGTAATTAAAATATCAGTACGTTTAGCGAATAATAAAAACTCTTTTCTTTGTTGGTAGATTGACAACAAAATGGTACAACAGTGGTATAAGTTAGGCTAACTTTTAAGAAATCCATTATTAGTACATTATGGGTACATTTAAAAAAATTATGAAATATTTCATGGTATTTCCAGTTGGTAGAATTGTGTATGTTTTTTCATGGTCTAACTATACTACATTTCATTGACTGTAGATCTTGATTTCAGGATGCACCATTGCTATTGAGAAACAAAAAAAAATTGCTAATTATAATTCTAAGACAGTGTTGTGTGATGTGTCCTGATTTCAGAGATGTTAAAAATGTGGAAAAATGTAGGTGCAGTGGCTTATGCCTGTAATCCCAGCACTTTGGGAGGCTGAGGTGGGCGGATTGCTTGAGCCCAGGAGTTTGAGACCAGCCTGGACAACATAGCAAGACCCCCATCTCTTTAAAATTGTGGAAAAATAATGTCTTAAATATAGGAGGCAAGGTATATTGAAGTGTTGAACTAAATTATTTAAAACTGCTGCTGCTTATAATTGCTGCCACATCTTGATTTTATTGAGAAAACTATAAATCTATGATAGACATCTGCTAAAAATGGCACATTTTATAATTAATACTAGAAGATGTTCTTACATCTGCTGTCAGTGTATCTTCTGTATTTTAGTGGATTGTTTGTTCATGTGTTTGTGTCCCAGAGTGCTCTTTTTAACAAGTAGTAATTTTTGCTCAGGTATTTTCAGGGACTCTTAAGTACAGAAGAAATTTTGGGATCATTTCCTCTGACTCACTGCTCACTAAAATAATAGCTGTTACTCCCCACAGATGCTGCAGTTGGAGAAGAAACTTGAACTTGAACTTGACGATGATGCACGAGTCATTGCTTGCCGGTTTCCCTTCCCACACTGGACTCCAGACCATGTCACTGGGGAGGGGATAGACACAGTGTGGGCATATGACGCGAGCACGTTTAGAGGCCGTGAAAAGAGACCCTGAACATCGATGCATTTCCAGCTGCCCATTCAAGCATAAACTTTACTGAGAGTGCTTTTCTGAAATGTCTTAGTCTTCCCCGATCCTGTAGAGACTTATAGCTGTGTCCTTAGAAAGGAGCGTAATTGTCTTTGGTTTGGCATGAGAAATTACCATTAGTTTCCTTAACTGTTGGAGGAAACAAACAAGAAAAACAGGTAGATTTAAAATCTGCTTTTGATGCTATTTTCTTAAAAAATGTACTTACTGCCTTTTCATGCACCTGGATGCATGAAAAGATGAATAAGTGATGGTCATGGTTATGGGCAGGAAAGATGCCAACAGCTCTTCACATCATAAAAAGTATGGCTTAATGCCTCAATAAGGACAAATGATTTTTAAAGACAGTGCAGACGTTCTTCGCCGAGAGTAGTCAGGGTTTCCTGCTTCAACAGTGCTTAGACGGAACCCGGCACTCGACCCCATCCCTGCTGGCCGCCCATAGCCAGCCCTCCCTCACTTCCTCACCGCACCCTGGGACCGCCCGAAGGCCCCTGCCGCCGCTCCAGCGCCGCCGCCTGTCCTTAGCCTCCGCCATGACGACTGTGTCCACCTCGCAGGTGCACCAGAACTACCACCAGGACTCAGAGGCCGCCGTCAACCGCCACGTCAACCTGTAACTCTAGGCTTCCTACGTTTACCTGTCCATGTCTTACTACTTTGACTGCGATGATGTGGCTTTGAAGAACTTTGCCAAATACTGTCTTCACCAATCTCATGAGGAAAGGGAACATGCCGAGAAACTGATGAAGCTGCAGAACCAAGGAGGTGGCCGAATCTTCCTTCAGGATGTCAAGAAACCAGACTATGACGACTGAGAGAGCGGGCTGAATAAATGTGAATCGGTCACTACTGGAACTGCACAAACTGGCCACTGACAAAAATGACCCCCATTTGTGTGACTTCATTGAGACACATTACCTGAATGAGCAGGTGAAAGCCATCAAAGAATTGGGTGACCATGTGACCAACTTGCGCAAGATGGGAGCACCCGAATCCGACTTGGCAGAGTATCTCTTTGACAAGCACACCCTGGGAGACAGTGATAATGAAAGCTAAGCCTCAGGCTAATTTCCCCGTAGCCATGGGGTGACTTCCCTGGTCACCAAGGCAGTGCATGCATGTTGGGGTTTCCTTTACCTTTTCTATAAGTTGTACCAAAACATCCACTTAAATTCTTTGATTTGTACCATTCCTTCAAATAAAGAAATTTGGTACACCCCCCCCCCAAAAAAAGAGTGCATATTACCAAATGTTTGCAGTCTCCTATAACTTTGTTCATACTTAAGTTTTATCTCTTTCCTTTTTGTACTTCGTGGCAAAATTAATTTTCTAAAGGATTCAGAGAGGCATTTATATTTTATAACATTTATTAGAAATAATTTGTTCCATCACTAGATTACTGTATTTCATTGAATTTAAGCTGTATATATGTACATTTGTATACATGTATGCGTAAATGTAAGCCCGACGTGGGTTCAGACTCCGGTTTTGTCATCAGCAAGAGGCCTTGAACCTATAACTTACTGCCTCTGAGCCTTGGCTTTCTGTGTATCTTTGCCATTGGGATAATGGTACATGTAACAGCGGACTGGGTACCAATTTCTAAAACTCATGACACCTAGTCTTTGGTCCATAAATGGTGTTTGTTATTTTAGACACTGAGAAAAAGCTTATTCACAGAAGTTGCAGATTATTTCTGCTAGTCACTTTTTTATTTCTTGAGAGCTACCACTTAATATTTCTCATTTATGAGAAAAGACTGATTTAGATAAAAGACGAATTAACGAAAACCTTTGAGTGTGAGTAGACAAGCTTCATATATCTGTAAAATGAATATTGAATGGTAGCCTGAGTCATTTGTGCTTATCACAGAGAAGAATTGAACTCCCAGTCATAAACCTGTAACTGAAATACCAAACTGTCTTAATGGAGATGTAATGAAGTAAGATGGTCACATCTTTAACTAAACTTATAAAAATATGGTCAGTTTGATAATTTTCACTTAAATGAGAAACATCTGGGGACACATTCATTCATTCTTTCAACAGATATATATTCAGTATCTACTGTAGAAGAATCTCTGAGATTCTGCGTGAATAGACAGACATGCAAAGCTCCTGGCCTCATGGAATTCCTATTCTGGAAAGGAGAGACAAACAAATAAACGAGTGAATCTTAGTGTGTGTGGAGTTCTCTGAAAAATAAACAGTGTGATGGTGTAGCGAGCACCCGTGTGAGTCTGAGATGAGGGGATGGGATGTTGTGGACTTCAGCCAGGTTTTTGGCAGCTACTGTCTGTCCCTTTTCCACTAGCTTCAGTTTCCTTATGAAGAATGAGTTCTTTCTGTGGCGTGTGGCTTTGGTAGGAGGGCAGCTCTTGCTCTGTGTCTCTCAGTTGCCTTCCGTTGTAGCCAGTCCTGTAACTGGTCTGGGCACACTCGGAGGGGGATCCATGGTAGCTCCTTGCCATGAAGATGTGGGTAGAGGAGGGTTTTGTGGGGCCTTGGAGGTGTTCAACATTTTCCAGAAGTGTTCCTGGTGGATTTATAGAGGCATTGGTATGGTTTGGCTGTGTCCCCACCCAAATGTCATCTTGAATTCCCACATGTTGTGGGAAGGACCCGGTGGGAGGTAATTGAATTATGGGGGCAAGTCTTTCCCTTGCTGTTCTCGTGAAAGTGAGTAAGTCTCATGAGATCTGATGGTTATTGTAAGGGGGTATTTTCCTGCAAAAGCTCTTTTTGCCTGCTATCATTCACATAAGATATTTAGCCACATGGAACTTAAGTCCAGTTAAACCTCTTTCTTTTGTAAATTGCCCAGTCTCAGGTATGTCTTTGTCAGCAGCGTGAAAACAGACTAATATAGTAAATTGGTGCTAGGAGTGGTATGTTACGGAAAAGATACCTGAAAATGTGGAAGCAGCTTTGGAACTGGATAACAGACAGAGGTTCGAACAGTTTGAAGGTCTCAGAAGAAGACAGGAAAATATGGGAAAGTTTGGAACTTCCTTGAGACTTGTTGAATGGCTTTGACCAAAAGCCTGATAGAAATAGGGACAGTAAGGTCCAGGCTGAGGTGGTCTCAGATGGAGATGAGGAACTTGTTGGGAACTGGAGCAAAGGTGAGTCTTGTTATGTTTTAGCAAAGAGACTGGTGACATTTTGCCTCAGCCCTAGAGATTTGTGGAACTTTGAACTTGAGAGAGATGATTGAGGGTATCTGGCAGAAGAAATTTCTAAGCAGCAAAGCATTCAGGAGGTGACTTGGATGCTGTTAGAGGCATTCAGTTTTATAAGAGAAGCAGAGCATAAAAGTTCGGAGAGTTTGCAGCATGACAATGTGATAGAAAAGAAAAACACATTTTCTGAGGGGAAATTGAAGCTGAATGCAGAAATTTGCATAAGTAACAAAGAGCTGAATGTCAATCCCCAAGACGATGGGGAAAATGTCTCCAGGGCATGTCAGAGGTCTTCATGGCAGCCCCTCCCATCACAGGCCTGAAGGCCTATGAGAAAATGGTTTTGTGGTCCATGCCCAGGGTCACTGTGCTGTGTGCAGTCTATGGACTTGGTGCCCTGTGTCCCAGCCACTCCAGTCATGACTAAAAGGGGCCAAGGTAAAGCTTGGGCTGTTGCTTCAGAGGGTGGAAGCCCCAAGTCTTGGCAGCTTCTGTGTGGTGTTGAGCCTGTGGGTGCACCGAAGTCAAGAATTGAGGTTTGGGAACCTCTGCCTAGATTTCAGAAGATGTATGGAAATACCTGGATGCCCAGGCAAAAGTTTACTTCAGGGACGGGGCGCTCATGGGCAGTGAGGACTGCTAGGGCAGTGCGGAAGGGAAATGTGGGGTCAGAGCCCCCACACACAGTCCTTACTGGGGCACCACCTAGTGGAGCTGTGAGAAGAGGGCCTACCCCAGAATGGTAGATCCACTAACAGCTTGCACTATGCACCTGGAAAAGCCACAGACACTCAACACCAGCCCATGAAAGCAGCCAGGAGGGAGGCTATACTCTGCAAAGCCACAGGGGTGGAGCTGCCCAAGACCATGGGAACCCGCCTTCTGCATCAGTGTGACCAGGATGTGAGACATGGAGTCAAAGGAGATCATTTTGGAGCTTTAAGATTTGCCACCCTGCTGGATTTTGGACTTGCATGGGGCCTGTAGCCCCTTTGTTTTGGCCCATGTCTCACATTTGGAATGGCTGTATTTATCCAATGCCTGTACCCCCTTTATATCTAGAAAGTGACTAACTTGCTTTTGATTTTATAGGCTCACAGGTGGAAGGGATTGCCTTGTCTCACATGAGGCTTTGGATTGTGGACTTTTGAGCTAATGCTGAAATGAGATAAGACTGTGGAGGACTGTTGGGAAGGTACGATTGGTTTTGAAATGTGAGGGCATGAGATTTGGGAGGGGCCAGGGACGGAATGATATGGTTTGGCTGTGTCCCCACCCAAATCTCGTCTTGAATTCCCATGTGTTGTGGGAAGGACCCGGTGGGAGGTAATTGAATCATGGGGGCAGGTCTTTCCCATGCTGTTCTTATGATAGTAAGTCTGACGAGATCTGATGGTTATTGTAAGGGTGAGTTTCCTGCACAAGCTCTTTTTGACTGCTGCTATCCACGTAAGATGTGACGTCCCTCCTTGCCTTGATTGTGAGGCTTCCCTAGCCATATGGAACTGTAAGTCCAATTAAACCCCTTTATTTTGTAAATTGCCCAGTCTCAGGTATATCTTTGTCAGCAGCATGAAAACAGACTAATACAGGCATCAGGCTATGTGCAGAGTTATTAATAACTTAGCATATTTGGAGTATCTCCCTTAGTTTCACAAGAATTAGATGATGCTTGTCTCTCAACCTCAAACGGGCTGTTTTATGGAAGCGTTGTGATTTGGAGTCTGCAGGGTCTTTAATGGCTTTTTGAAATTGTGGCTTGTTAAGTAAACTGTACAGTGAGGATTTTCCTGCAGAGGTTAGTGTGGCTTCTCTAACTGGCTGGTTTAAATTTTTATCAGTTATTAGATTAAGGACATCGATCAAATTTGTACCTGACACGAATTAGGGAATGAGAGCTACTATGTTGGCTGTCAAAAGTAGGTTTTATAAATGCAGGTACAGATTGAAATCGGGGCCAATGCTAACTTGATAAAATTGAAAACAAAAGAAGTATAGTTTAGGGGTGATATAGCCTAACAGGACCTGTGATAAACAGAGATGGGGATTTCCATGAACACTTGGGCTGATTACTTAAGCAAACTCCCATCTGAATGCATCTTCCTCCAAAAGCATGACCCCCAGGAACGCAATCCTGTGTTTCCCAGGTGTCTCAGGTGGACTCCTCAGACCCTCGGTTAGTTCTGGTGTTCAGACTCTGTCAGATGCTTAGCTCCATTAAGTGCACGTGAGATCAAGGTCAAAAGAGTTAAGAAATGAGATTTTCTTCCAGATACACTGTGTTCACCATTGCTGGGAGATAGTGTGCACAACATACATTGCAGCTCAACAGAATAGAAGAAATGCAAGGTTTTTGACATTTAAGCCACGCAGCTGGATTCCATTCCTCTGCCAAAGTACTTTTCTTGGTGGCCAAAGGTGTTAAAGACCTGACTGTGAAGAAATAAGTGTTCTGAAGTCCAGGAGCTTCCAAGCTTGTGCCGTTGCATTTATTTCTTAGCTTATCCCTGGCTGAGCACATTCTGGGAAAAGCTTCGTAGTCGTTGCAGTGCATACTTCAGGAGTCTACTGAGGTCAACAAACAGAAGAACAAGAAGTACCCTTGGGGCCCTATGTGCCTTAGTGTGACCAGCCTTTCATTAAGGCACCGGAAGTCACCTGGACCATGGAGCTGTTCTCACCTGGCTGTGCAGTAACATGCAGGCCTCTGACCCAGCTCGCCTGTCCTGGAGTAGGGACGCTAGGGGGTCCGGAAGGTGGTGTGCAGACACTGCCTGCCTCCTACCCCTGCCTCTCTGTCTTGCTAGCAGAACCCTCCGTTTCTCAGATGTCAGGATCGATGTGCTCAGGGAAGAGAGGCCCTATCAATTACCCAATTCCATTCTCCTTTGTCATGGGTGTTGGGGTGGGCTGTGGGCATGTGACCTGGTTCCTACCAATGAGATTTGAAGGGAAGTCTGCTAGGAGCTTTGGGAAAGGCTTTTGTTGCTAATAGAAGGAGTTACATGAGGAGCAAGCATCCTTCCTGTTTTTG